TTAATGGACTTTGGGCCTTTGTCAAATATTAGCTGCTCATAAGTGGATGAGCTTATATCTGGATTCTCAACTCTGTTCCATTGGTCTATGTATCTGTTGTTGTACCAGTACTAGGCTGTCTTGACTAGTGTGGCAGTATAATAAGTCCTAAAATCAGGTAGTGTTAGGCCTCCCACTTTGTTCTTCTTGAGTAGTGCTTTATTTATTCGGGGCCTCTTCCCTTTCCATATGAAGTTGGTGATTTGTTCCTCCATCTCATTAAAAAATGCTGCTGGAATTTGGATCGGGATTGCATTGTATCTGTAGATTGCTTTGGGTAGAATTGACATTTTCACTATGTTGAGTCTACCTATCCATGAGCAAGGTATATTTTTCCACTTATGCAGGTCTGTTTTAGTTTCTTGCAGTAGTGTCTTATAGTTTTCTATGTAAAGATCTTTTACATCTCTGGTTAGATTTATTCCTAAGTATTTTATCTTCTTGGGGGCTATTGTAAATGGTATTGATTTGGTGATTTCCTCTTCAAGTGAACCAATATTTTCACTTTTGTAAAATCACATACTTAAATGTTGTAGAAATGTCAAATTGCTAGAAAAGATTCTAAAAAGCATTCTTTGACTTTTTGAATTTATCTTGCTGTGGACTCATAATAAACATTGTAGGAACAGACACTGATCTGCAGACCGTACTTTGAGTAGCACTGCTCTTGCCTTGGTCCTTCAGGATAGCAATTGTGGAAGCCATTCTACACACTTCTCAGGAGATTCTGGGTGAATCAAACCCTGGATCCCACAGCAGTGACCTTAATAATCCACTCTTTTTTTTTTTTTAAATGGAACATTTCACAAATTTGCATGTCATCTTTGTGCATGGGGCCATGCTAATCTTCTCTGTATCGTTTCGATTTTAGTATATGTGCTGCCGAAGCAAGCACAATAATCCACTTTTATGTTGACTTTGCCTCCTTCCATGACTCACTCTTCCCACCCTCTCACTCCTGCTTCCTGTATCACCCCCAAAATAAACAACTTGCACTCAAACCCTTGTCTCAGGCTCTGCTCCTGGAAACTCAAAGTAAGACACTAGAGTGTTTACAGTTCTGGGATTAGGAGACTGAATGGATGGAGAAAAGTTGAAAAATATGGACAGTACATTCATACAGAAAAAAGAGGTTAAACTACAAATAGGCCATTCCCAAAGTAACAGGGAAAGGGATCCTCATCACATCTATCACTCCTAAAATGAAGGTAATATATTATAGATCCTTCCTGATATTCAGAAATGTCAGGAATTTCTCAACTGTAATGGAAATAGGGAAAGATAAATGCCTTTTTCAGTTTTTTAATTGTTCTCTCTTATTATATGGAACATTATCGATGAAATCTGTTAGATATGTTTACTGAAGGAAAATGGAAAATCTTATTAAAATCTATGGATCCTGTAATTACCTTAAGAAAGATATTACACTTCTGTTTGACTTAGTTTCCTCATCTATAAAAATGGGTTTAATCTTAAAATATACCTTATGGACATCTTGTGAGGATTAAAATAGAATCCAGTTAAAGCATTTTTGGTAAATTGCCCAACACAAAGTAGGTATTATTACAATCATTATTATTTTCTCTCTCATGACTTCCCTTTCACCTACTGCATACCAATTATACTGGCCTTCTTCATATTCCTCAATGCACCAAGTCCTTTCCTGACCCTGAGCTTTATCTTATGCCTGGAATATTCTGCACCTTCAAACACCCTACATGCCTATTAGTTCTAAGTTCAAGTCACATTTTTTTTGCTTCCTCAAGGAAGCATTTTTGACAATTTAATCTACATCTGCCATAATAGTCTCTCATTCTCCTCTATACTGTTTCCTATAATATTTATTGCCATTTAAAAACTATTTTATCCTATTTTCCTGATTGTCATTCTGTTCTCCATCATTTAATTGAAGGGAAGGACCTTGTCTAGTGAATTCCTATGCTTAATACAATGTCTGACACATAATAGGTATATGGAAATATTCACTCTGTAGGCAGACGCAAACATGGGACTCTCTATTTTATTGGAGGCTACGTAATGCCAAGAACAAAATAATACGTTGCACATAAGCTTGTCTTTCAAAGTGAATTGCTGGACCACCAAAATAAGACTTGCAAAGGTAGCGAACAAAGAGCAATTTTGTGATCTTTGCCCAAAAGCCATACTAAGGGCCAGTTAAAAAATAAAATAATGGAATAGAACAGGCCACAGAAAAGACTTCTTCCCTCTCATCTTAAGTCTATGAAAGGAGTTTCAAGAACACTCCTTGGAATGATGGATATGTGTTCCCTAGAGTCTGGGGCACAGGAGACTGTTGTCTGAAACTCACCAGAGAAATCTAATTACAAGAGGCTGTGGCTATTAAACTGGCCTGTATTGGGCATGAGGATGAAGGATGGTTTCTTGAAGGCCAGTGGTAGGCCTACAAATGAGACATAGACTGGAACCATGTTGCATCCTTTGTAAGAGGACTCCCAGGAATGGTGATGTGAGCCTAACTAAAGGGATAGACCCCTGGATGAGTAGGACAAGGCGCTGAACTGGAGAAGATGAAGAACCCATATTACAGAAAGTTTGGGTGAACGTTTCCGGGGAGGAGGGCTGGTGGTGGCTGCAGAAGCCATCAAAGTATTTCAAAAGAGAGTAATTCCAGCAGGATCTTTCCTATCTCCTATATCTCCTTCTTATCCCTAAACAAAAAACCAAAACCACTGCCGTCAAGTTGATTCTGACTCATAGCAACCCTATAGGACAGAGTAGAACTTGCCCCATAGGGTTTCCAAGGATGTAAATCTTTACAGAAGCAGACTGCCACATCTTTCTCCCACAAGAGAGGCTGGTGGGTTCGAACTGCTGACCTTTCAATTAGCCGCCAAGCATTTTAACCACTGCGCCACCAGGGCTTCTTCACTTACCCAACCTGTAATCCAGGAAGACATAGAGGTAGCTTAGTGGTGAGAAGACAGAAGAGGAAAAGCTAAAACGGGAACCCTCCCTTGCCCACTGCAGTTTCTAGCCTGAAGCAGTCCTAGCTAAGGAAACATTAATTTCTAATTCAGTTCAAAGTTCTGGTTTTAGACGATGATTGTAAAATGAGGCCCGTTTGTGGCTTAATAGGACAAGAGGATTTTTATTATGTGAAAGTGGCTAAAAAAGTCACAGATCCTTCTCAAAATTTCACCCAAGATATGAGAAAGAAGGAACCTAACAGACTGAGTTTAAGCAGTCTTGGGGCGGGGGCAGGGAGGGTGGAGAAAAAGGTTGTTTTCTATAGAGTTTTCATTAAGAACACTCTACAGAGATGGCATTCTTTCAGTATAATGGTTACTTTTGATTGAATGAAAGAATGAGCATAAATAGTCCTATTACCAATGTTCATGTTATTGATGAATAGAGGTACGGTATGGAATTTTAAATGGCAATCAGCCTTTCCTTTGTGCTTTAAAATAATGTATAAAAAATTAACTAAATTGATTATTTTCCTTGTGTTATGAAATATAAAGACTGCTATATATACTACATTAATGACACTGAAAATTTGCAAGGCATTAAAAATGTATGCTTGTAAACAGCATTAATAACTTGACTACCTAACTTTTATCTAGTTTCTTATCCATGACATTCTGTGTAGATCTAGAAAATTATTCCAGCCTTCATTAAAGTTTTAAACAGTTATGAACTAGCAGTACCCACCACATGGTTTAAATATTTTATGCAACATCCTTAATCACCTCTTTATAATTTACAGTATAGATTGTAAAATCATTACACGTGTGCATTAATAATTAATCTGTAATACCATCTTCTTATAAATATATGTCATAGATGCATGTAAGTCCTTTGATTGTAAGGTGAATAATAGAGTTTTCTTTTATGACTGCTACACACGTTATAATTTTATTGCAAACTTGTATTTCACAATCAGTTTTCCAGGCCAGATTATTGCTACCTCTCAAAAATTGAAGATTATGGTAATCACCCTTTAAGGAGCCCTAGTGGCACAGTGACAGTGGTTAAGTGCTCGGCTGCTAACCCAAAGGTCCGTGGTTCAAACCCACTGGCCGCTTCACAGGAGAAAGTTGTGGCACCCTTTGGATTATCCAGATAATTTATTTGTAGTATTTGTTACAATTATTCACAAATGTCTTTGGGTGGAGCAAATGGTTAAGCACTCGACTACTAGCTGAAAGGCTCGTGGTTCAAACCCATCCAGAGGCACTGCAGAAGACAGGCCTGACGATCTGCTTTTGAAAGGACACAGCCTTGAAAATCCTATGGAGCACAGTTCTACCCTAACACACGTGGGGTCGCCATGAGTTGGAATGGAACCCACAGCAACTAACAACATTGGTAACAACAACAATTCACAAATATTCATGTTTTTCTTCCAGACACATGGCAGGATTTCATTTCCCTCCTCCCTTTGAGGATAAGCATGGTCTTGTGACTTGCTTTGGCCAAAAAATATGAGTGGAATTGATGTGTCACTTCCAGGTGGGAATTTCAGAGCCCCAGTGCACTTCCTCTGATCTTAGACGCAAGAATCAAGATGCATCCTCTGTCAACCTGGGACTCTAAGCTTAGCACTCATGCCCAACCACATTAATCATGTCACATTTTCTCGTGCTCAGACACTTCAGTCTGGGAATTGTCTATTACTACAGCATAGTCTAGCACAGGAGGTGGCAAGCTTTTTCCGTAAACGGCCAGATAATAAGTATTTTAGATTTTTCAGGCCATAAGCTCTCTGTTGCAACTGTTCAGCTCTGTCACTGTAATTTGGAAGCAGCCATAGCCAATATGTAAATGATGATATGTAAATGGTTGTGTTCTAATAAAACTTTATTTACAAAAAGAGTTGGCAAGTCAGATTTTGACTGTGGGGCTGTAGTTTGCAGATCCCTGGTCTAGCCTATCCTGACTAATATAGTTTTATGATGGAGTCACAGGAAATACATGGATGTGAACCTCAAATCACTTTTTTTGATTGACTACTCAGACATTTTACATCTTGATGATTTATATACATAAGGTCCAAAGAAGTTTTAAGATTCTACCTTGATGTTTTATACATAAGGCCGAAAGAAGTTTTGAGATTCTTTGTGGTTTTCACTTTTCATATATTTCCTAAATAGTATTAGGGCTGTGTTTAAATTAAATACAAATTAAACACATTTCTACACCCTTAAATTGAAATATTCAAATATTTCTCCTTATTCTTGGGCTAAATGTAGGTATCTTGGCAAGGCTTAGTCAATGTTGTTTTATATTTCAATTTGTCAGTTATAGGAAAATGAACTATTGGGATTCTGTCAATAGTCTTTTTGGGTTGTTGGGTGCAATTGAGTAGATTCCCACTCATAACAACCCCATGTGATAGAGTAGAACTGCCTCATAGGGTTTACTTGGCTGTAATCTTTACTTTTCCATGGAGCCACTAGGTGGGTTGGTACCATCAATGTTTCAGTTAGCAGTCGAGCACTTAACCATTGTACCACCAGTACTCCTTGTCTTTCATTATAGTTGAATAGAAATACAAATGTCAATTTGCTTAAACAGAATTAACAAAAAAGGGTCCTCAATCCAACAGCAAGTCTTTTCCATAAACTTAATGGCTTTATATAGGTGGGAATCTAGCTAGAAATGTCAAGGATAGGTATATTTCATTTACTTAAGCATCCTACCGTATAGTTTGCTAACTAAGCTGTGGCCTGACAAGAAAGAACATTTATTCTGTGCACATAGGTTTCTGTATATAACTAGTTGCCGTCAAGTCAATTCTGACTCATGGTAACCCCATGTACGTCAGAGTAGAACTGTGCTCCATAGGGTTCTCAGTGACTGATTTTTCAGATGTAGATCACCAGGTCTTTCTTCTGAGGCACCTCTGGGTGG